GCGGCCCGGACACCTCGGCTCTGCCGCCTCCCTGGCCGCCACGTCCGGCCCTCGTGGGGACTCGGGCGCGCGCTGGCCCCTTCGCAGACGGTGAGGTGGCGGCGGACGCACGGCCTCGGCCTCAGTTTCCCAGGTGGGCCCCTGACCTGGGAGAGTCTCAGCCCCTCCTCTGGCCACTTGCGAGGTCCCCAGGTGGCCCCAGAGCCCAGGGAGGGGAGGCTGGGGCCCCGCCCCCGCAGTGGCATCCTGCCGTTTCGAAGACCAGGGCTGGGCGGGGCTGGCAGTGTGGCTGGCCCTGCCCTGCGCCTTCGCTGTGCCTACCGCTCAGGCTCAGACCTTGAACAGGACCCCAGAGGGACGCCTAGGGCAGAAGGACAAGCCTGAGTGCCAGACGTGTACCTGCACTGGGGGGTTGCGCCTGGCCAGCCACTTGCTGCCCTGGGGTGGGATGGGGTAGGGTCACTGTGGGCACCTGAATCCCCTGGACCCTCTCTAGAGACATGGGCCGGCCGGGCCTGCAGTCACCTCAGCACTGCTGTCCCAGCCACGCCCTGTGGCAGGTCCAACACCATCACCACCCACCACCTTGTCATCTGCTGTACCAAGTCCCAGCGGTAGCACCCCCCCCCCCCGCTTCCACCGTCAGCGCTGTTGCTGTCACCCCACCTGAACAGTCACCTTCTCCATGTGCCCCGACTTCCAGTCCCACCACCACCCCGTCATCCCCAGCCAGCTCTTCTGCATGGTTGTCCCTGTGCTACCCTCCGTGTCCACGGGCCTGTCCACCACCAACACAGCCTTCAACACCCTGCACGCCCACAGTCACCACAATATCCACACTGTCCGCCACTGTGACTACGCGCCTGCCCTCCCTGTGCCCCTCAGGCAGGCCTCCCCCAGGTCAGGTCAGAGATGCGACACTGTGCGTGTGCACGTGTAGATCCTTTCCTGAACGTCCCCTTGGGTCAGGACTGTCCAGAGGGGCAGGGTGGACTCCTAGAAGTATGGAGAGGGCAGGCAGAGCCAGCTCAGAGTCGGCCCAGCCAAAAGAGGCTGCATATCTCGGGAATGGGAAAGCCCTGCTGGCACCACCCTGACTGACCTCTGTCAGTACGTTGCTTATACATTTGAGCTAGGCCCAAACTTGCCACTCAAATCGCAGGTGAAAATATTATTAAGACAGTTGATCCTCTTAACAGCCACACCAAAAACAGCTAACCTTGCCAGAATCCTCCTTGCTGTCGTTGTGCACAGGGAGATGCTGTTCTAAATGGAAAGATCTGCTCGCAAAATGAATGGTTTCATCAGAAATGAGCCTTCTGCCTGCTAGCAAAGCACATATCTCCACACAAGCTTTTTCCTGAAACAGATATACTGTTAGGGAAACACTTGCCGACGTGGACACTGTGTGCAGCACACCACCTTTCCGTTTGTTCAGTCGGAAAGAAGCGGAATTCTTCAGGGAGCCGCACCCAGGGCACCTGGCTTCACACAGCCGTGAGCTCTCTGGTCAGGGCCGAGACGTGCAGGGTGTGGAGGGACAGCCTGATAGGGAGGAGGGAGGTGTTTCCTGTGGAGCGCAGGAGCCTGGACATCCCTGCCCGGTCTCTGCTGCAGCGCCACTTGGTCAACAAGGTGCAGTGTGGACAGCTCCCAGCCCAGCACCTTTGGCAGGTGAACAAGGGCCTCTGCTGCCCTCTATCCCCAGCCAGTGACTTGGCCCGAGCAGGCTTGGTGCCTGAGTGAGGGGCTGAAAGGGAAGGTCTTGTCCCTGCACTGTCCACTGTCACAGGAGAAGCTAGATGTGCCCTGAGTGAGACCAGTGTTCCTGGAGGCCATG